CAGTTATCAAGTTTAACATTTCAACTGTAAAAATACAATTTGAATGTGATGAAATGAAAGTATTGTTTCCTCCAGCAGAGTATAAAAACATAAAAGTCAAAGAAATAAAGTGCAAATTAACAAATAAATACAGCGGGGTAAAAAGACAAAACAAGAATCTTACTGTTATATTATTAATAAATAAAAAGCTCAATATGCTACAAAGTGCCTCTTCTCATTTTCAGATTCAGAATTTAACAGAGAGCTGTAATGAACCAGTGTCACAAACATCCCTGTTAAACTCTCATAAAGCATCAGAAGACCTTCGACAGGTCAGAGTTCAGCGGGAGGAAACTGCTCGGACTCTCTGTAAATCAAATCCCAGATGTTTCAGACTCCATCGGGGTTCTGGAGGTCTGAAGAACCGAGATCACAGTAACACAGTTGTTTTCAGCCTCATTGTCAGTGTAGCAGGTTGGTTTTGAGGTGGAAACCCTTCAAACCCACTTCCACGAAGAAAGCTTCGATATACCTCAGGAGGGTTGTGGTTACGTGTGTTACTGCTTGTGTTTACTCCGCGAATGTGAAGCTGCTGTGCACTTCAGGGACCTGGACAATACGCAGTCATAGGCTGACATTTCAGACAAATTGTTTTTGGTTTAGAGGAGGGAATTACTGGATTTTCTCTGGACCAAGACAAAGAAATGCTGCTGCAATGAACACTGTAGACGGGGACCAGCATCAACAGATAGTAGAATTAGTAGCCTGCACAAATAACAGTGGGTTTAGAATCACAGTGTGAGGGTCTTTTATAGAGCCGCCATTTTAAAGACCAAGATTTGATCATACGGGGGAGAAATCCATCAGTGGAGAGAGGAAGCACAGCGATCAGTTTCTTCAAAGAGAACAGCCTCAGTTACCCAAAATTCACTGCAGCCTCATCTGCAGTCCGTGATGGACACACCCAGGCTACATAGGGACTATATAGCTAATATACACACACTCACACACACTACAATATGATTATTTATTGCAAGTAATATCATCATCGCAGATTTTCCTCCTAGTGTGTCTTGATAAATTCTAAATAAAATGGTTAAATTCAACCTTTTTCACCACCTGTTCTCTCTATGACAAAATATGCCTTAAGAGATGATTAATAATATATCATTTTATATAAAATGTAATTATCGATAGACTGAAATTTTATTATGATACATTTTTCAACTATATCGCCCAGCGCTACTTTGGATTTTATGAATTTTTGTCGAATTAAATAATTAATTCGAAGATATTTTGTCAGCCAGTGGTCCGCTGTGAGTACTCATCAAATAATAATAATAATAATAATAATAATAATAATAATAATAATAATAATAAGTCACAACATTCACAACAGTACAAAGCTCGTAGTTTAACTGAAACTCAACACCGTATGGTCCCTTCAGTAAAAACCCCTGGAGCTTTGGCAACAGGTAACAGAGGTGAAAGTAACCTCCTGGGATTAACTCAAAGTCTCCTCCAGTAAAGAACCTGAAGGTCTGTATATAAATCAAAGTGAAATATTAAATCTATTCCTCTTGTTGTTGCTGAACCTCCTGCGGGATGTTAAGAGGACAGACACACTGAGTCAGCACCCGTCGCCCTCTGTGGCCATCAGGACCTCAGCAGCAGCTTCAGACACAAACAGAGCACTCATCTGTCTGCAGGTAAACCTGACTGCATGTCGCTGAACTCTCAGGGATAATATACTGCACACGGCTTCATCTTCAGGCATTATGTTATGAAATGTATCTTCTTTGAATCACGACCATCCATCTGGCTTTCATCTGCTACAGCTGGACAGGCTGCACATATACTGCCACATCTCATATAAAAGCCAGTATTGTAATAATATCCGTCTCAAATAACAGCACAAACAAATAAAGGCCTCATGAAACAACAAACATTATTGTATCATGTATCCGCAGCCACTCCACCGCTCTCCCTTTCTCCTGTTTAACACAGTTCTCACTCACTAATCGTTTCCAGTCCTTCCGTGTCGTTCTTTTTCCTCAATCACAGTGAAGCTGCTACCAATGAAAACCCAACACTTCCTGAAGATTTTTCACAACAAAAGTCAAACCAATTAATAAGAGGGGGAAAGCCGAAGAGCTGGAGTGGAAACCACACCCCGGCCGGCAGAAAACCGGCACTGTGGTTTTTTAGGTTTTGGAGTTTTCCCCGCTCATCACTTATTAACTGTAACTGGAGATATTCGTATGCTAACATCAGGGCTTTCCCCACAGCGTGTTAAGCTGGAATTACGCTTCTCCAGGCTGCAGGTCAGCCCCCTGATGCGTAGGTTTGCATGAATCATTCCAGCTTTAACTCAATTCATCAACTCATCGTTTGTCTGTAAAATGTCAGAAAATAGTGAAAAATCACAGCTTAACCAGAGCCCACGGTGATTCCTCGGACCAATTAGCCCCAAAAACTATGAACCTAACTCACAAAACATGATGCATCAGGATGTGGGCGGCAGAGCATCACAGCTGAACCACTTCACAGAGGGAGGGAGGGGAAGCCTGAACAGCCATTATCTGACTGTGCACAATTTTTTATTGATTATCCTGTGAAGACGCCAACACCGTAAATCCCTGATTTAATTAAAAATAAATGTTATCTGACGAAGGCCTGAAGAAAGAAAACTTGTTAATTAAGAGTCTGTTTATGATATTGTGTTGTTATGTGGATCCGTCAGGTCTCGACAGCCATATCGATCCAGATACCGCTGCATCACTAGTCGCTCTTCTCTCTTTAAAAAAGGAGCAGTGTGCAGGATTTAGTGGCATCTAGTGGCGACGTTTCAGACTGCAACTAACTGAACACTACTCACGTTTGTATTTGATGACCTGGGAATGAGAACAGGGCCTATTTACAGCTAGAATTTGGTTTGTCTGCTCTGGTCTACTGTAGAAACATGGCGGATAAAGATAAACAGCTGATTCGAAGGTCACAAAAA